ATTTTAATATTATTTTCTCTTTTAGTGTCATCATATGCAACACACTACAAGAATTTAGGCAAATATTATAAAATCATTAGTTAATTAATTTTCAATGGCTTTATAATGTTCTAGGGTTGCAGCTAATTTGCTTATCAGAAATTTCTTACCCTATGGACTTTCCAACAAATCTAAATTACCAATGGCTTACTGGTGGGTAAACCAATTGGTGGATGCTGAAATAAAAAATTGTGGATAATTCGTTGCTTTCTGTCAATAATAATAACTACTGTTGTAAACTCTCATATCTTATAAAAAAAATAGCTATCAAGTATCTGTCGGTGGACTGTCGGTAATCCACTGACGATCATCACCATAAGAAAAGTGTACAGTGAAAATAATTGGTCGGTTGCTCTTAGCTTGCTCTTAGATATATTGGTTGTCAAAAAGGCTTATTTTATCCATAGCTGATCAGAAGGCCATTGCTTATTGGTCGATATATTAACCAATGGTATATAAACATCTGATCATATGATAAAAGAGCGAAAAAAATATTGAAAAACGTGGGAAATCAGTCGAACAATTATAACATGAAAAAAGAAAATAATGGATATCATTTTATTATGATTTTCACACCGACAATAGTGACACATAAATCCAATTATATATTGCAAACTAAAATTTACCAATCCAAGATGTTATTAGACTAAAATTTTATCAATGAACATAGAAATTAAGCACATACATGCAATGCATTGAAATAAACAGTTAAAACATTTGTACAAAAATAAGGGAAAATTACATAAATAGCACCCAATTCTTATGGATTTACCTATCTCTTTCATTTTTGTACACATAGCTCTTTACCTATGGATGAAAAGATGAATTTGATTATTAAAAGGTGACAATGAGTGCAACTATTTATATGAGATTTGTAATTATGAAAGTTTAGATGTGAAATAGGTAAATATAAAAGTTTTGGGTGCTATGTACGTAAAAGCCCCAAATAAAAACTTTTCGTTCAAAATGTCTTAGGAAAGCATATATAAATAAAAAGGTGTCTTGATCCTTTTGGATGCCCTCATCATCCTCTTCCTCAACATCGTCTTCTGCAGGCTGCTTTCTAGCCTAACGTTGGAACTCTTCTAATTTTGATTTTACTTTGGTTTTTATTTCAGACGTCTTATTGGTGAACTGGGTAGTGAATTGGGTCTCAATATCTACAATGAATGCAACAACTTGCCTATGAAACTCATCTTCTTGAGCGGTAGAAGTTAATGTTCTAAATGCACTAGAGGAGGGATGAGTATCGTTGGCCTATGCCTAAGTATGCAATCCATAGACCCGTCCCTTGTTCTTGCTTCCGGCAACCTCCCTCCACAGCTCATAGTCAGAGGGATCACGAGCTGGGATCACAACTCCTCTTGTGCGTTGAATCTGATTCTTCTTTAACTTTTAGAATGTCTCCTACAAAAAAAAAAAAGATAAAAGAAAGTTAGGGCAAAATGAACTTAAATAATTATTTGAGTTGTATAACAATTACTCTTGTGACTTACATGAATCGCCTGAAATTTGTTGTCTACCCAAGTCTAGTCCAACTATTGCTTATGGGTGCGTGCATGTAACTTAACATCTGTGAGCCCTCTTCCCAAATCTAATGTACATGTCCGACTTCTTTCGGCTTCCATGAAACAAACAACGTTCCATCTCTACTTTGCGCCTTAAACGGGCACCATTTAAGTTCCATATTTTTATTTTTGAATGAGGTCACTCCTAAGCATCACCATCCTTCTCTTTAGCCATAATACTTATACTCACCTCATCATTAGAATGTGTGAATGAATAACTACTAGCATTTTCTTAATTGCTTGTTAAAAATCCTTCAAATTAATCTCAAATGACTTGCCATATTTTAATAAAAATATATAATATTTTAAAAATATTAAAAACTCATTTTTAATCAAAAGTATGCCACATAATTTAGTGATTTGTGTTTAAGAAAATCTAGCAATCAAATTGAAAAAAATATGAAGTAAGAATTCAGAGAATATAATATATATTTTTCTTAAAATACTATTAATAATATAATTAAATTAATTTTTAAATCTATTAAATAACCCTTAAAAAATTAAAATAATTTATGTAAAGACATGTACATGCTAGTAAATTATAATAGCAATTTCAAGTTATATGTCAAGCTTTAAGTATTAAAATTAAATTCCAATTATATAAAATTACTAGTTTTAATTAAAATGGTTAAGTGTTGTCGTATTATTTTTTAACAAATTTTAATGCAAAAGTTTTAAATTCATGATTGAAAAAAAAAAGTATGTAGAAATTATTTTTAATTATTTAATTATTTTTTTATTTTTTGGGGCATTTACATGTATACCACAATTATTTTCTTATTTAAATATATGACGCCTAAAGTTTAATATTTACTTTATATTTCACATCACTCCAAAAATATCAGTTTTAATGCGTGCGAGAGAATTGACGGTGATAGAGTTTTTAATTAACGTCTTAGCGTTGCACAAGAACCTAACACACACTCATATAATAAAAATGATGGGCTAAAGCACCAGAAGATTTTTACCTGAAAAACTAAAAAATGGAAAAACCATTAGGTCTACGCCAGTTGAAAAAATCCAATATACGTTGATGATTCCAAAGATAGCCCCTTGTCCCATAAGCAGAAAATGGTTACACAATCTCCTAAACTACAACGTCGGTGCGTAGATGAACTTGTCGCCCCGTGGCAGGGCAGGTCACAACAGAGAGTAATAATCAAGGGCTTCAATGCACCGTATTCAAGGTCAGTGTGAAGTTCGTGATGATGCGCCCTTCGTAGGTTGTTTCATATAGTGTTTCATTGTTAAGAATGGGTGGCGGTCGATGGTGATCAACAACGGTCGGTAAGTGGTGGTCGACGGTGGCTAGCGGCTGTGAGAACAGTGGTGACAGGAGATGCTAGAGACGAAAGTGAACAGAGTTGACCGGAGGAGACAACTGCTTAAGTTGGTAGGAGGTAATGGCGGCTCAAGTTAGCCAAAGACGGCGCAGCCAGAGTTGGTAGGAGGGCGATAGTGGCGGTCAAACTTGGCCAGAGGGCAGCAGCGGCCAGAGTTAGCCGAAGGGCGGCTAATCGTTGGTGTAGAAATAATGTGGTACCTCAACTTCTTCTCTAAGCTTCAATCTTCTTCAATTTTCATGTTTTAAGTCCCCACTCAATAGTAGGTTAAGGCTTATAGAGTCCTGGTTACAATTATTGAAGGAATTCAAATCGCTCTGATCGGAGAGCCCAAAGATATTCTCTTGATAGGATGATATTAGATGGACATTTGAGTATCTTAACAATCGGCATTAAAAAATCTTGAGCTTGGATTTGTTTTGTTAAGCCGCTCAATTCGACTATAAGCTCACAATATTTGACATCCTTTTGACCTTCCAAATATGTATGAAAACCTTCTAAAAGTGATTTAAAAGTTTGATTGTGGTTTGATTTCATTCTCATCGAGCCAATTTTCGTAGCATTCTCATCGAGCCGATCAGTTTAACTATGTGTTTGCTGAAATCCGGGCATTTGATGAATTTTAATTAAAATTTGAATAATTTTCATTCAAAAGATCGTCCTGAGGTCCGTGTCATACCATGAGATTCTTGCCCAATAATGAATTTATTGTCGGCGTATATGTTTAATTAACCTTGTAAAAGACAAATCCACCTAAACTTAATTTTTTTCTGCATTTTTAAAAAAGCAAAATGTTTTAGATGCAAATATCAAAATTCAGGTGTTAGCTATGTAAATCCATAAGAACTATGGGGGTAGAGATGCAATTTTTTTTCTCTCTTCTATGGACACCACCACAGCCCCTGGTGCCTCATGCTGCGCCACTTGTTGCCTCATTACTGCCTGTAAACATCATTCATTGTAATGGCATCATCAGAAAGATGATAAGGAAAAATCAGGAGACGCATGGATAAATTATTTTAATGGCCTAAAAATATTTATAAAAAATTTAAAAAAAATTAAAATATTTTAATATTTTAATTTCGGCTATGTGCAAATTAAATTTATTAAATTATATAAAGTAAAAAAATTTCATTTTATTTAGGCTATTTTCATGTAATTTAATAATTAAAATAATAATTTAACTTAATTTTTTTGAATAAAATAAAATTCATGACATAATTATTATATTTGTTTTGAGAAAAGTGTAATTAAAAAAAAATTAATGATTTTTAAGCTTATCCTCATAAAAATTTTATGAGGATATTCTATTTTTTTTTTTCAAATCTAACAAATATATAATTAATAAGCCATTAATCTGAAAATAAATTATGAATTTTAAGATTTATCTTAATTATTTTTATATTATTTTATTCTTATAGTATTTTTTTCTCACAATTTCTATCATTCAAACCTATAAAATTATAACTAAACTTGAACATATTGTTGAGCCACTTGAACCATCATCATAGATGGATGCATAACATTATGCGGGTGTTACATCATAAAAAATAATAAGATTTATATACATACATCGCAATTCCTATGAATTTACATATTTTACACTTGAATTTTACATTTAATATTTTTAGTATATTATATATATATGAAATTTATATTTTATTTTTTAAAATTAATAAGAAAAGTTTGGGTGTTATAAATAAAAAGCCCAAAAATAATAAGATATAAACTATCAAATAATAAAATAATTATGAGACAATGAATGATTTTTTGCATGTTTATCCTTATGTGATCGTTGAAGTGAACGGAGCCGATCAACTCCGTAAAAAAGGAGAAATATTTGCATATATACGCAGAGTTATACGCAGAGTTGCGTACGTAGGTAGGTTACAGGGAAGTCATTGGGTGTTATATCCACATTGTACTCTTGTAACCTCTCTGTAACATATTTGTAACTAATAATTTTCGCGTTTCTACTTTCATATATTTATTATCGATAAATTATAAAAAATTAGAGGAAAATTACATAAGCTTATAGGTAAGCAAATGATAAGGATAAGGGGGTCGAGTCTCTTCTTCTCTTTGGCTACTCGCAAGCAAGAGTTGAGCAACAGTTGAGGCCGAAGATTGGAAGGGGAAAATGAGGAGATCTGCGGGAATGGGAAAGGGAAGCGTACTGCGAACGGTAGGGCGAGCGGTCGGCTCTGGAGTCGCCGGAGTTAAGGAGGCAGTGTCTTCCACGGCAGTCGGTAGGGCGGCGAAGCCTGCTCGAGTGGCGGCGCTTTCCTCTCGTTCGGGTTCATCCGGGTCGAGCTCCGCGGCGATCGCTGCGGCGGCGACTCGGGGTTCGGCTCTCTGTTTCTGCGATGGGGAAGAGTGGGAGACCGTTGAGGTAGAGGAGGGGGATATGGAGGAGAGGTTTGAGCGGTTCGTGTTTGGACCTGTGCCTTCCACGCAGGAGGCCGAGGAGGCGGTGTCCGCAATTCAGCAGTGAGTTCTTTGTTTCTGAATTAAGTGGAACTTTTGGTTCATGTTATGATGTCTTTTTGCTGAATTTAGAAGATACGGTAATATTGTTCTGAGTTGCAATAGCTTCATGGTTCGATGTAATTATCTATTTGAAAGGGTATATTTTGGGAAGGTGAAGTGCAGAGCTCCCATCCTCACCAGACTTGAGTCGAGATTTGTCACGCATTTGACCTAATTTGCAGGTTGGATCTGCTCTTTTATTTGTTTTGTTTCTTGGAAAAGGAAAATACTTTGGACATCTTGGCAATGTTTGGATGAATGGAAGGTGAATGAAATTTAGCTACCTTTTTTGTCAAGGAGCCGTTATTCTCCTGGATTTTCATTTGTTTAAACCTTCATTAGATTGAAAGAAATTAGAAAATGGATTTGAAGTTCTATAAATTTATAGATTGTTTATGAATTTGGAACTATTAATTTACCCCCTTTTTAGCTGAATACTTTTTCTCCTATCCAAATATTCAAGGGCAACTCAACCAATAAGAAGTAATGAAAACAAAAGAAAATAGTCTTTTGAAATTCTTAATTTTTTTTTTCTTTGTGTTGAACTGGTACTGAATTTTTTGGGTGGTAAAGAATTACAGATGTGTTTCTTGGTGCTAGAAACCCTTTGCCACAACCCAGCTTCACCAAACAGCTAGTGAAAGAGCCACTCTGCTGCTGTCCAACTGAAGGAATGCCTCCCAGTGGTTGGAATACCTGCAGTTTAGTAAAAATAGGGAGAAAACCAGTGGCCCAATTGCTGTTTGACGATGGCAAATATAGAGGGAAGGCAGCTCAGCTGTTGAATTGCCTTGCAAATATAGAAGAGAACCTTGACTCAGCGCCTATTAGTAGTCCAAACCTTACTACGACAAAGACACTACAATCAACTATGGCTAGATGATTGATAAGTCAAACAGAAATTCTTGGAATAGTACCAAGAAATAGGAAAACAACATAATTCAAAACCAACAAGAATCTACTTTTTACTATTGTAGCTTTTTTTTTTGACACCACTAGCTTTTAAGTAAGCTCTCCAACATTTTATAAGATGACATATTTCAATACCTGTCAGGACAATTCAAGCCTAAGAACTAATTTTATGAACTTCCAACTATTTTTTGTTTAAAATAACATAAGTAATCATAAATATCAAAATACTATAATTCCGTTGAACTAATGTCAGGCATGAATTTTTGCATCCTAGTTTTTTTTTTTTTTTTACTCCTTCTAATGGCCCTCCATGATTAGCTTGCATCCATGAGTCTAGAATCAGTCCCAAATGGGCTTGTTTAGTTCTCCTTGGGGAAACTTTTGTGCTTGGTGCCATGGGTTGCCACATAAAATATGAATCTTCTCCGATCGACAAATTTTCTGCATTGTTCTAGCTCCTATTATTCCCCAAAAATTCAAAAGGATTTGTCCTTAAATCGTCAACTGCATTAAAAATGGCTCAAATTAGAAACCTTAAAGGAAGTACTGACACCATATGTACTTATCAATTTCAATTTATAGGCATTTTCTTAATTCGTTCAAGAACTTGATAAAGACCACTTCATTTGAAAGAAGATTGGAATGCAATTGCTTCAGAAATTATTCCTTTCTCTTATGCAGTTATACTCAATCTCTTGGTTCAAAGATTAGCTTATTTCACTTTTTGTTGGCTTATTTTGCATATTACTTGGTTTCTTCTTTCTATGTTGAGCCCGACTTTCTCATGTATTTGCTTGACACATTAATCTTTTTCTCTTCATTTAAGTTGGCATACATAGTAGTCATAGACAATAAATTTAATAGACTTTTCAAAATTAAAATCATATGCAACTTCAAATAATAAATATTTAGCAACAAAATGAACATACAGATTGTAAGCAATTTCAATGTGTGTCTGAGGGGAAACTACCTTTTCTCTTATTCCACAATCAAAAGCATATGATACATATTTATGTATATTCCTATCTCTATAGATTGGGAACATTTTTAATATAGAAGAGATCTTGTAATTAGTTCTCCTCTAATTAGGTTATCTAATATGAAGTTTTCTAATATACAATCATTAGATTTAATACTTTCCATAACACTCCCCCTAAAGCTGGTGTATAGATATTTATCATGTCCAGCTTGTTACAAATATAAGTGACCCTATCTCCATTAATGGCCTTTGTGAATATGTCCCCTAGTTGTTTATCAGTCTTTGCATGAGCTGTAAAAATCAAATATTGTTGAATATTTTCATGAAAAAAATGATAATTTATCCCAATGTGCTTAGTACGTTTATGGAAGATGGGGTTTGAAGTAATATGAATCGCATTTTGGTTATCAAATCATATTTTTGTTGAAAGTGTCATCTTAAAACCCAATTCAGTCAGGAATTGGGAGACCCCCATCAATTCACTTAAAGCTTGTAATAATGAGCCATGAATTCATGTGCTAAACAAGAAACACAAGCGCCGTGAATCCATGAGCAAACAAGGAAAGGGAGGAGACATGAATTGCTCCCACCAACCAAACTAGGAAGGCAACAAAGTGAAAGTTAGACTAATTTTTCTTTTCTATATAGTATGAGAACAAGGTTAAGTCCTTTCAATTTTAATTTTTTTCTCTCTTCAATCTTATACTTCTCATCATATGTAATAACAGAATTTAAAAAAATAAAAATAATAAAAATCAAAATAAAAAAATAAAAATAATATTAATAATGAAAATAAAAATAGGCATTGATTTGGAAAGACACCTGTCGGCGGGAATTAGATCGCTACCTTTATCACTTTACGCTTCATTTGATCGTATCTAGTGAGAAATAGCAAGAGAGACTACGAGAGAAGAGAAACTGTCGAGCCCTAGCCAATTGAAGTTGAGTAGGAAGGAGGAAGCCGCGACTTTGTGCGTAGGTACTGTGCGAAGGAGGGGAAGGAAGAAGAATGAGAAGAAAATGCCAAAGAAAGGAGCCTGCGGCTCTGTCATGACCTAAAGAGGAGAGGGAAGTAGAGGAGCAAACATGGTGAGTGGAGAAGCCTCGTGCTTGTGCTTTTGAGTTGAGCCTGAAGGAGGAGTGGGAGAGGATTTTCAGCGTTGTGCTCGCATAGCAGAGGAGCGTGAGTCGAATTTACCACGTCAAGCTCTGCGGTGCTCTCATGCACTTCCTTAGGTTGAACTGCGATCAAAGAAGGAAAGAGGGGGACTCGAGCTCGCGCGATCAAGCCAATGCCGAAGGAGGAAGAAAAATTGAAGTCTCTGTGTGCTTTAGAGTTGTTGGGCCTTGCGAAGGAGAAGAAGCAAAGGAGAAAGTTTATCAAAGATCATGTGCTCTGCTGGGGTGAGATGTGACCGAAAAAGAGGAGCGACGCCGTTCTCGCATGAGGTAGAAGCAGAAGTCGGAGGGGAAAAAGAAGCCGAGAGAGGAGGGTGAGGTACGCGAGTTTGTCGAGAGAAACTGGTGTGTCTGATCGAAGAGACGAGCTTCATGTGAAGTAGAAGGCTCCCTGGTGCTGCTGAGCTCGCGTGAGTTAGAGCAGTTTGAATCTTTTTATTTAAAGGTGTGTAATAATTTAAATAGTATATAATGATATTGATATGTTATTGATATAGTAACATTAAATATTTTTATTAATTTATTAAAAAGTTTGATTGACATGCATATTTCTTCTTTTTCTCTTGTATTATTGTGGTATTTGTATATAATTATTCACTGGCTTATTTAGTTCATTGATATTGTAAATTAACTTTTCAGGTTAATTGTGATTAACAATGAGCATTAGAAGTGATAACTTTTATAAAAGACACAAACAGCTAGTAGCAAAGTAAATATAGTTTTACTATTTTAATTTAATTTCAATATTGGCTTTTTTATTTGTTAAATAACACGAATTTAGAAAACTTAGTTCCCACCGCCCGGCTGTCTGTTGTCGTCTTGATTAATTCCAAGTCTCTGGTCGGGTCGTGACGTAAACCTTGAGGGAAAGATCATTGTGAGATGATTGATGATATGAATCCGCTTTTAACTATTTAATAGTTAAAGTGGATTAATTGACGAGAGTTAATTAGCTTAAGGCTTTTTATTATATAAATATCATCATTTAGGGAGGGTGAGAATATGAAATGAATTAATGATATCCCCTTATTGTATATAATTCTCTTTTTTTCTTTTCTTTGGAAGTTGAATGTTCAAGATGAGATTAGATTTCCTAGTCACACATGCACTATAGCTAAAGTGTCTAGTTTGCCGCTACCAATAACTTATTGATTGACAGCCCTAGTAAAATAGATACTTTTATATGGACACACACTTTCGACCAACTTCGCCAATGGATGACCAAAAATAAAAGGTCTACCAATGGCTAAGACAAAGTAGTTGGTCGGCCTTTGACAGACTAGGTTAAATATCAGAGTACATACAAGATTCAACATGCAATACAATATTTATTGCATGCATATGAGTAAAACAAATTTAATAAATTTGACATGTTTTTTTAAATAATTAACCACCAATTCATCAACTTGTTTCCACGATATGTTGCTTGTATTTTGCGCGGGCACACAATTGTCATGGATTCATTTTCGCATTGTGATTATGGTCATTGGTTCTTTCCCTTACTAAACTCTCTTTTTTTCTCTTGTAGGTTGTTTATTCCAGTTCCATTTGGTGAGATAATAGAAAGGCCTCCTCATGAACAAGAGGAAGTCAAAGATAAAGCAGCAATTTCAACAAAAATATTGCCACGGTCATTATCAAGTGAATCTCAGTCTGACTGGATTGAGCCTGTTATGCATCTTTATAGCTCTAAAAATTCTCAATCTCAAGAACGGGAAAAGGTTCTTGATGCATTTCGTTTATTACAAATGAATCCATCTATCCAGGTGATGCAAATCTGACTGACTTCCTCTTAACACTTTTGAAATTTTTGTTTAAATTATTTTGTGGGTGTCGTCTTTCTGAAATCTGCATTGGATAGAGCAAACTTCTTTGAATAATAAAGTTGTGTTCATTTATGTGTGTTCTAAAATTACCGGTGTAATTATTGTGTTAGCTTTTCTACTTGCAGAAAGTCGTTGTTTCACTGTCATCCGATAGAGCTGTATGGGATGCAGTTATGAAGAATGAAGTGGTACAAGAATTTAAGAAATGCTTTTATGAAGGTTTGCTCTCCGGTCATATTATGACACTTTGTTGCATAACATAACCATTGAATCTATTAGGAACATTTCTGTAATGATTTTTACTTAAGTAGCATAGTCTATAGTAAACTTGCAGTGTGCACGCAAATTGGTTTATTATGTAGGGGATCAGTAAAATGCATTACAAATGGTGTAATATGCTTTCATAACAATATTTGCAACGGTGTAACATGCTTTCATAACAATATTTGTATTGGTTAGTAACTAAAAAAGTTTTATTTTTAATAATTTTTTTTAAAACTTGTAGCTCATTTAAATATTACTTCAGAGTTATATGGCTTTTCTAAACGTTTAGTTTTAAGTTCATTTTAAATAAGAATGAAATATTAAATTTAGATAGCACGGCTATTTCTAAATTATATTTAATTCTAGACTCTCAAACGTAAATTTAATAGAATTATTAGATATTATGGCTAATAGGAAGATAAATATCTTATTCATTCAAAAAACTGAATGGGTTAGAGAACAGATTAAGAATAGTGATAACTTAGGATTTAAAGTTTGGTATATAGGTAGGAGTTGCACTACAATTCGTGTAGGTGTAATTATAGATAAGAGTTTGAAAGATAATGTTATAAAAAAATTAATAGAATTTTAGATGAAATTATAATCATAAAGATTGTTGTTGATACTAAAATTTTTAATGCTATAAGTATTTATGCTCCTCAAATAGGTTTAGATATAGGTTCAAAAGAAAATTTTTTGAATGTCCTAGAAGAATTAAGACAAATGATACAGTTTTGGAATAATTAATGAAAGAACTTTTATTAGAGGGGATTTAAATGGATATGTTGGTAGAGTCGTAGAATATTCATGGTGATTACAGTTTTGGAATAATTAATGAAGAAGGTAAAACTATATTAGATTTTGCTTTAGCTTATTATTTTGTTATTGCTAATACTTTATCTAATACTTTATTTAAGAAAACAGATGAACATCTTATTACTTATAAAAATGAATATAATAAAACACAAATTGATATTTTCTTATGTGAAAAAGATATCATCGAATTATAAAAAATGTGAAGATTGTAAGGTCACTTCAAGTGAAAATTTAAGTGCTCATTATCGATTATTAGTTCTGAATTTTAAGATGAGGACTTGAAAGATAAAAAATACAATGAAACATTGCAAAAGAATTAAACGGGGCACCTAAAAGATAAATAAATTTATTTTTATGAGCAAATGTCAAGATTCAAGATTTGGGATGTTCATAAAGAAGCTAATTCTATATTGGATAAAATAAAAAATACTATTGAACATATGACAAAAGATGTACTTGGTGAATTAAAAGAAAAAAGTTTTTATAAATAAAACTAGTTGGTAGTGAAGTAATAATGTGCAAGAAAATATAAAATATAAAGTGTTTTGTTATACAAATTGGTTTAAATATAAAAGCTTAGAGAGCTGAGAAAAATATAAGGTGGTTTGTAGGGAGTCTAAGAGATCAATTTGTGATGCTAAAGATTCTGCTTTTAGTGATCTTCATAATAAATTAGATACTAAATATGGTGACAGATATATGTATAAATTAGCCAAATAAAGAGAAAACAAAAGCAAATATTAAATTCAAGTGTATTAATGATGAAAATTAAAAAGTATTTTCCCTAGAGGAAGATATTTAATATAAGTGGGTGAGATATTTTGATAAACTTTTCAATTAAATTTTTGAATATATTATCCACCTTATTGATCATAATATCATTATTAATAATAATAATTTTTATTTTTACTATCATATCAGTAAATATGAAGTTGAGGAGGCTTTAAAGAACCTGATGCTATCTCAATAGAAGTGTGAAAATATTTAGGATATTTGAGAGTTTCTTGGTTTACTAAACTTTTTGATATTATTTTAAAAACTAAAAAGATGCGTGAGGAGTGGAGGTTGAGTATTTTAGTTCCCATTTTTTAAGAATAAAGGCGATGCACAAGAGTGTTCAAATTTTAGATGACTTAAGTTAATGTGTCAAACATTAAAATTGTGGAAGACTATAATTGAACATAGGTTAAGACATGATACAAAGATTTCTTATAATCAATTTGGATTTTTGTCGGAAAAGTCTATTATGGATGTTGTACATTTATTGAGAGATTTGATGGAGAAGTACAAAGAGTAAAGAGGATCTACAAATGGTTTTTATTGATTTAGAAAAAGCTTACGATAAGGTTTTAAGAGAAATTTTTTTTGAGAGTTCTAGAAAAGAAAAACATTGATATGACTTATATTCAAGTCCTTAAAGATATGTGTACTAGAGCTCCAGTTCTAACAGGAGGAGGATTGACCTTGGGATATGTTTTTTGCTGACAATATCATTCTTGTGGATAAGACTAGAGAAAGAGTCTAGGAGATACTTAATTATAGATGTCTACGTTTAGAGTCTAAAGTCCTTTTTTTTTTAGTTTATCTAAAATAGAATACATGAAATATAATTTTAGTAGTATTAGATATATTGATAGGGTTGTAACAATGGGTGATCAAATCAATAAGAGTTGACGTTTTAGGTATCTCTAGTCTATTGTTCAAAGTGATGGTGATATCGCTGGGGATGTTGTTAGTAGAATTCAAGTGGGATGGTTGAAGTGGAGGAATGCATCGGGCCTGTTGTGTGATAAAAAAGTACTGCTTAGATTTAATAGGAAATTTCATAAGAAGGTGGTGAAACCTGCAATGTTTTATTGCACAGAATGTTGCCTTTAAAGGAGAAGTATGAAATTAAATCAAGTGTTGTTGAGATGAGAATGCTCGAGTGGATGAGTGGCTTTAAAGTTAGGAAAAAGTGCGGATCCGTGAAAGGATTGGAGTCGCTCTAGTGGCTGACAAGATTAGATAGAGTCGCCGTAGATGGTTTGGTCACATTAAATGTCGACCATCTTATGGGCCAGTCACGAGAGTAGATGTTTTAAATTTGACTTACGTTAAGAAAGGTAGAGGTAGACCTAAAAAGAATTAGGCATGTTGTATAAAAAATTATCTTAATTTATTAGAATTAAATGAGAGTATGACACTAAATAGAACAATGGAGAAAAAGGATTCATGTAACGTGTGTGTGTGTGTCTATATATATATATACAAAATTTTAAATCCATTTACAATCACCCAAACACCAAAAATGATTCTTCTGTGTTTTTGTACAATCTTCTAAATAATTAAAAACAATTTCAAATGCATTTATATATTTATATATATAAATTAATTGCAACCAATTTGCCAATGATCTCAATGATATTTTGAACCTAGCTTATGCACAATTTTTCTATATAATGTTATCTTATTAGGAGACTGTTGTTTGGTACTATATTTATAGGAAAAAAAAGTTCATGGGTTATTTTTGGATGGATAACAGTTTTATATAAGTAATAATGTTATTTAGAACAATTTTACCAATCAAGTTCAGTGTGAATGGTTCGATGTTATCCTATTTAATTTAGGCTAATGTTATCTAAAATGATTAATCGTGATTGTGGCCTTTTTTCATTTTTGTTATCACATCTTATAGTTATGAAATAGCCTGACATTGAAGATGCCATTAGGATGACTTTTCATAACTTCATAAATAGTTGTTACACTTCCATATTATTGTTTTTTAAATGCTTTGGTCTTTAAGAAAATTGTTGTTTGAATTTTCCCAGATAATGTATTTATAATGTCCATGAGTAATTTTATAGACAACTGCAACCTAACCGAACTGTCCCTATGATGTCAAATAGATTCGGCTAATGTTTCCTTATCATCAAACCAGGACTTAAATGTCACTTTTTTACAATCATTATTTAAATATGTTACTAAAACAAACAAACTAAAATCGTTTTTTGACAGAACATTATATATCATTTGTCAATGAACTTGGCAGCGTCTAATTGATATTTTAAGTCCTACTTAGATGACATAAATGCTATCAAATTTGTTTGGCATCTTGAATCAAATTGCCTTTTAACTAAAGTAACTGAAAAAAAAATGAAGCTTTAAGATCACAGTTGATCATCCTAAAAAAACATTACATTATTTAACTTGAATAAAAATATTCAGCCTAATGTACTTAGCTAATAGATAGCACTCATTTGATTAACATTTTCATCTAGATAATACTATTATCTAAAACAAACAGCCCCAAGATGCAATCTTTATTTTTTTTTTCTTCTTTTTTTTTTTTTGTTGTAACTGTTTGATTTATAATTTAGCTTTTAATAACAGCTGAAAGTAACCCACAAGAACCAGATGCAGGAGACAGCCTTCCTGCCAATGGAATCCTGAAATGGATCGTGGATGCAAAGGTGAAAGTGATGGAAGTGCTCGACAAAATTGCAAAGCAATTAAGCCAGATATTTAACTCAGGTGGAACCAAGAGTGAGGATGATATTTTCGACAATGTTCTGCAATCCTCCTTTATGCTTTCTGTTCTCGTTTTTATTGTCGTCGTTATGAATCGTGTTCTAAAATCCTAACAGCAGCTTCAATTAGCCGACATGACGTCCTTGTAATATACATTTGAAATTCTAACAGCTTCAATCAGCCGACATGATGACATCCTTTGTAAATATACTTCTGAAACACATCAACAAGACTTTGTTTTTTATCAGTTAGGAGTGTGCTATTCTGATTATTATATGCTTTAGACGTATATTTGATAACTTCACCTTTGGTCATTGGAGACTGTTAGCCTAGGGGCAAGTTTATCTTTTGTACACCTAAGGGCAATTTACTCTTTTTTTTGTTATTGTTGTTGGGTATAAATAGACTTTTTTTTTTGGGTTAGGTTTAGGCATGAGATTGGATTGTGAGTTTTAGGTTTAGAGTTTGGGAGAGATTTCTTACCTCTCAAATTATAGGCCTACCTCTCAAATTTTAGGTGCTTATCTTTTGTATTCTTGTTGAGTTTTTTGGATTATTGAAGAAAATATACGTATTTGCCCTAATTTTTATGAAAAAGAGCGCTAATTTTGTTGTCGAATCATATCAGAGACTTGTGATTGCCAGACAAGGGGGACTTATTGGGAGAGTTGGAGTGGGATATGGTTCATAGCTTACGAGAGCTTTCGATTCTCAATGCTGGCAGAGGGTTAATGGGAGTTTTGTACGATCAAATAAATAAATAAATAACAATAAAATAGAGATTGTGCTGTTGAAGTCTGTGTAGGGTTGTGAATTTAGCTTGAAGATCGTTAATCATTCAAAAGTTGTGTTTCTAGCACACAATTCTTATGTATTTACACACAACACTTTGGCGCTTAAACTTATGCATAAAGAAGTGCATTTGACTTTTAAAATGTGATAATAGTACTATTTTTCAAGTGATTAAATATTTGAGTGCAATGTGGGTAAATATGAAAGTTTAGCTATGAGCATGTAAATACATAAGAATTAAATGCCCCTTTTTTTTAAAATATTGCTTTAGTTTGTGATGAATATGTTATTATAATTTTATTTTGTGCTGAGAAACAAATTCATTCACAATATCTGATTAGTAAAGATAATTTTATGATAATATTTTTCTTAATTTTAATCTACCAATACTTTATCTTAATTAAATTTAGCAAATATGAGTTCTATGTAAATGATTTAATAATTCCTTATTATTAGTGTATGATATCTAATCTGCTTTAAAATTTTATTTAGAGGCTTACAACTGATAACAAGATAAGATTTATCTCTTTTTTTCTTTAATCGCATTCATAATATATAATATGGTATAGCTCCATGAAGAGTCGGTTAGTAATTTCTTATATAGACTATCTTTTACTTCTTTAAATTGGTTTAAGTAGATGTTTAATTGTTTGGTAAAGTTTACCCTTTGTAGTAATATTTTTTTCTTTTTAAATCCTTCTTCATTTGAATGAGAGGTTCAATCAGTTCCATGACTCCAATACATGATAGATCAACGCCATAGATATTCTCTTAGAAATTGTTTAATGTAAATTGGTATTTACATACATGGTCGAAAATTCCGAGGTATTGACATATCTCTGACCTAGACTTTCATATTTACACACCTATAGCTCAAATCTTTAATATTACATCAAAAATAGCATTGTTACGTCTTTCTATGCACAGTCTTAAAGCACCAAAGTGGTATGTATGTAAATATGAAAGTTTAGCTGTGAGATATGTAAATACATAAGAATTGTGTGCCACGTATGTAAGTCTTTCTAATGTTAATTGTTCTTGAATTTTAGAAGAGCTTATTTTCACTTGAATACTATGAATATTAAGTTCCTATATATGAAAGTTAATAGAAGGCTTGATATAGAAATTTTTTACGGAGATATAACAATGAAGACTTGATATAGAAAATTAAGGAAAGGGAGAAAGTGCAATAATGGAGGTCATAAAATTATGGTGATGTGGCAATGGAGGCTGCAAATGAAAAATATTTGCGACAATGCAGCAATAATGGCTACAATTAGTTAAAAAATGTTACGAGTAAGAGAGTGCATCAATCAAACGCTGAAAAATTTTGGTAATGCAGTAATGAATGATACAATACTATGGTAATGCAACAATGAAGGCTGATTAAATTTTCATTCAATTATCTGTGTGGTGTTTTAAGCTTAGCCATGAATTGGCTCTCTCTCTTGAATTTAACAACGTTTGGTTTGAGCATGATGTACGAGTCTCCATAAGGCTCATTGTATCCTTCAAAGAGGTAAAAACCTATAATTACAATATATTCTATTTAGTATGTGATATCCATAACTTTCACAAAAGGTTAACTATAAAATGTCTCATATATACAATGAAAGGAATTTTTGTGCTAATTGGTTTGGCAAAGCCAGCGCCAATATGAATTCTCCTAACATGTATTATTCTGATTAGCTGCATGAAGACCTTAAAGGTCTCATTAAAATGGATACAATTGACTTGTCATATTTATTTGTGTTGAGCAGTAAGAATTGTTTGGTACAATTTGAATACCCCTAAGTTTATGCTATTTTCTTGTCCAAGAACTCACTCTTAGAAAGCGTAATATCATTAGATGAAAGCAGTGTTTTAAATGTCCTACGATTTGAGATGTATTGATTTTGAAATATGTGGCAATAAACCACTGAGATGTTGGATGCTTCAAAATGTTATAGCATTTGCTTCACAATTATTTTTAAGGATACCTAAATTGTGTTTTTCTTTTTAATGTTATAACAATTTTTTCTATTATGCTTAATTATTTGAAGTTTGCTTATATGTTTTTCTAGGGGATGTGGTGTTATGAAAAAAATTATTTTATGATAATCTGTTTATGTGGTAGTACGCAATGAGTAAAATTAAAGAGGTTAGATCATTGACCATGTGGGATAGGGAGGTCACTATTATATTTTGTGATCTCTGTCTAAGGAATGTCAAGTTGGGAAACAGACCCACCGTCTATTTTAATAAAGAATGGTGGCAAAATCTTATTGTTCAATTCAAAGAACTGACTGGAAGGGATTACGATAAGATGAAACTAAAAAATAAGTGGGATCAATTAAAGAATGATTGAAAAATATGGAAAGAACTCAAAAATGGATCAACGGGATTAGGTTGGGATCCAGTGAAGCGGATTATGGATGCATCATAGGATTGGTAGGTTGAGAAATTAGAGGTAAATACATGCCTAAGGTTATTTCTTCTTGCATCAATTCTCACATTAAAATGGTTTCACTAATAAAATTTGTAATCTATTACAGGTAGTGTCGGCAACCAAGAAATTTAAATTTAATGACATTGATCCAGTTTTAGAAGAGAAACTAGATGACATGTTCAGTGGGGTTGTTGCAACGGTATGTCGTTCTTTCACCCCAAGTGAGCAGGGGTTCACCGGCTTACCACAGGACATGGAAACCAATCAGATAGGTGAGTCAGACTAAGGTCCCAGTCCAATCCACACTGATGTTCAATCCACAAGCGAGTCAAATCGTCCTAGGGTGGAAAAAAAGAAAAAGGAGCCACATTCATTAGAGGCGCCATAGACACACAGCTTAAATCTTGCAAAGTTAAGTATGCTCCCTCAAAGGACAACTCAATTGAGGAGTGTCTTCGGTTCCTAAATACATATCCTGGTGTTAAGGCGGAAATATAGATATATTTAAACTATGTGATGTTGCTAGGAGACCCAACCAACATACAATTTTTTTATGAAGTTGGACCCGGAATTCTGACTCGATTACTTACGCTCTTTCATGGATGATTAACTGTTTCAGACATTACATATTTTATTTACTATCAATCTTTGTAATATTTTTGTCATAGACTCTTTACTTTTTTTTTATGGAGGCACAATCATGTCTTTTATTCTATTATGCAGTGATTTATATATCCACCATCCTACCTTCTATATATCACTTCAATTGGCTTAAGTTCTTTTTTATCAAGTTTAAAAAAGTATACTTTTTCTTATTTTGTAGCATGAATGAAGAACAAGTTAACTACAACTGCAATGTCACTCTAATCATTATCTTGCTATACATTACTATCTTACATACGTCGACCGGGATAGATGAGTCGGTGAGTTATTACGGGGCCACCCTACACGGTTTGCCAACTTGTTATGTATGACGAAAGAGATATTTCTTGACCTGTTTAATGAACTCCAGTACCTTCATGGGTTGCACGGCTCAACAAGAACGACGATAAGAGAGGTGTTGGCAATAACCATGTACATCTTATCCCAAAATAAATCCATTAGAGGAGCTATGGAGAGATTTCAACATTCATCAGAAACCATCAATAGATATTTCTAGGTTGGCTTGAATGCTCTTGTGATTTTGGCGTGCAAAATAGTTAAGCCCGAGGATCCAACATTCCAGTCTGTTCCCACACATATTGCAAATGACCAACGATGCATGTCGTTCGTCAATGTATTGCTTTAACATAACATTCATAAATGAAAATGATATGCATGTGAAATGCTAAAAGAGTATATCTTGAACGTCGGAATTGTATTGGAGTTATTGACGGAACACATATTGATGCGTGGCTATCTGGTACAGAGAAGGTCACCTACATCGGACGATATGGCTCCTCCACACAAAATGTGATGGTCGTGTATGATTTCAGCATATGCTTTACCTTTGTCATGGCTGGATGGGAAGGGAGCGCACACGATAGCTGTATTTTCAAGTTTGCTACTAGAAACCAAAGACATGATTTCTCATACCCACCTCTGGGTACGTATCTATAGCAATTACGTTTGGTATCTTCTTTCCATTGCTAATTATTGTAATTGAACAGATAAGTACTACTTGATCGACGTTGGATATCCCTTACAAAGGGGGTATCTCAAGTCTTATCGATATATGAAGTATCACATCTTCGATTTTGAAAGATTAAGCGCGGTAGCACGAGGCAAGAAGAAATTATTTTAAAAAATTCACTCTTCCTTGCGCAATGTGATCGAAAGAGCCTTTTAAGTCTGGAAGAAGAAGCGGGTTATGTTACATGATATGCCAACTTACATATTTCCAAAGCAAGTGCATATAGTAGTGGACACTATGACATTACACAATTTCATTCGACGACACCACTCCGGATGCAAAATTCGCAGTCACAGAAGATGATATGCTTAAGATCCAACCCAAAGCATTCAAATTCGATGTGGGACGTACCATA